CATTAAATTTTGGTGGGTTTGGATAAATTTGTTTAAGCATTTCAACAACACTTGCTTTTGTTTTCCCTGGCAGAGCAATTCTTTGATCAACCTTTTCTTTAAACTCTGAGCACAACATTTTTTTAAAAACTGGAGACTGTAATATAAGGACTGCTTTATGCACGTGAAGAGCCTCGTCTTCGACAAATATTTCAGTGTCACTATCTAACCATTGTTGAGAGAAGTCAATGGGCTTATCATACATGTTTAATTTTACACTAGCTTTAAAATTATATAAAGAAAAAAATTGTATATATACAGGTATATATATATATATATATATATATATATATATATATATATATATATATATATATATATATATATATATATATATATATATATATATATATATATATATATATATATATATATATATATATACATACATATATATATATATATATATATATATATATATATATATATATATATATATATATATATATATATATATATATATATATATACATATATATATATATATATATATATATATATATATATATATATATATATATATATATATATATATATATATATATATATATATATACATATATATATGTATATATATATATATATATATATATATATATATATATATATATATATATATATATATATATATATATATATATATATATATATATTGGTAGGTATGAATGAATGGATGTATGCAGAAGGGTGATTCCACGGGGAGGGGGAAGACCTTCCATAAGGAAGGCGATTTTCAAGTTATAATCGGTTTCTTGAGAAATATAGTTGGTTACTTGGGAATTTAATACAATTCAGTCGGGTAATTTTTAGTTTTAAAGGCTTTTTCTTTTAAAAAAGCACTTTTCAAAAATTTCTCCCCTCCCTCATTTTATTCCTAGAATTGGCCCAGTGTATGTATGTATGTATGTATGTATGTATGTATGTATGTATGTATGTATGTATGTATGTATGTATGTATGTATGTATGTATGTATGTATGTATGTATGTATGTATGTATGTGTATATTTAAGTATGTATGTTTTTATGTAATGTCACCAGAAGTGATTTTACGGGGATGTGTAGGGGTGTTCCAACCCCTTCCCCTCCCCCTAAAGAAGGTGATTTTCAAGTTATATTCGGTTTTTTTACTAATTTAGTAGACTAGTCGGATATTTGTGACATTTCAGTCGGGTAAAATTTTAGTTTTTTAGACCTTTTTTTTTTTAAGAAACTAGTTAATACTTTTTACAGATTTACAAACACCCTACCCCCATCCCCACCCCCACCCCTTATTTTATTTGTAGAATCGCCTCTGAATGGATTGCGCCAGAAATTCATTAAAAAAATAAAAACTAAAAGTTATTAAAACATAACTATTAGTTAACCAGCTAAAAAATCACCATTTTATACTGAAACGTTTGTTTACATCATTGCCAAATTTTAATTTTAAGCAATTGATTTATTTATTTTCAACTAAAAATGCAATTGCTTTTACACGGTAATTGGTTAAAGAAAAACATGAGGAATTTTGCTCAAATTTTTATTCACGTAAAGCTGAACAATTTCTCTAAAAACGCTGAGCAAACACAATTGTATAATAGCTAGAAGCACTTAGTATAGTTTTTTTATTCTAAAATCAAAGTGAAGATACCATTAAATAAATTAGACATAAGGTTTTATTGTAGCCGTATTTTGCGTACATGTATTACGCGTGTCTAAGTAATTTTTTTATTACTTTTAATATTACAAATTATATACCTAGAAATAAATATTTGTATGCGGGTAAAAATAGCCTAATCCTAACAAGATTTCCTAACGATAATTTCTTTTTTGAAATTAAAACCTATATAGACTCGTGATTGTCACTATCTCAGCGTAAACCAAAAACACGTGTATATTACAAGCAGTTTCACTCGAGTTTAACACCAATTTTTTGAGGTTTTAAAGTCAAATTTAGTTGAAACTTTTTTCCAGTGAGCAAATCCAGGTTCGCATTTTTTTTATAAAATCCTGACTCGAATATAATAAGTGCTTAAATATCGAATTTGTTCTTAATAGTGTAACAAATTTTGCTATAATGTATTAAAAAGTGTTATTTAATATAAGAAACCTATTAAATTATTTATCGCAAATTATTATAAGGAAATGAGTATAAACGGTTTAAATAAATTTAAATAATTCCGGTCTTGATTTTACAAAAACGTGAAACCTCGATATGCTCACTGATAAAAAGTATGAACCTCAAATTTAAATGTCACACGCTTTTATCAGTGGTTTCACATTCCTTACGGAAAGTCATTATAATATTTTTATTTCTGAGTTTCTATTTTTCTGAGTTGTAAGGAAAAAAAGGTAAGGAAAAAAAAAACATTTGTTATTATATAGAATGGAACTTTCTTAGTTGAATTTCATAAGGAAATAAAAGTTCGAATTTAGGAATATTTTAGAAATGCTGAAAGTTTACTTTTTTTAATAATTTTGGTTAAAGTGAAATCTAAAAAACAAATAAAAATTTTTAGATTTCACTCCTAGATATATTTTAAAGTTTAACATTAGCAAAAAAAAAAATGTTCTTAGTCGATTGCCTTACATCTTTTGAATCAATGTAAACAGCATTTCATTAAAAGACTTAATCAAGTCAGCTCTAAAGTTTACATCAAATCAGTTTTAAAAATTATAGTCTGCAATATTTGAGTGTATTTTTGCGGTCTGTAATTTTACAGGCTGCAATATTTGAGTGTATATACTCAAATATTATGTATTATGAAGTATTATGAAATGCCCGGCGCAACTCAGAAAAAAGTTACGCCTGGTTTCTGTTGCGTGTTTATAACTTTTTAAAACAAAAAGAATAACACGTGTCAAGGTCCGTGAAATCAACCATCACTATTACAGTTAAAGTATGAATGGTTTCGCCGCTATGGAAACGTTGTATTATGTTATAATACTTTCCGTAAAGAATGTGAAACCACTGATAAAAGCATGCAACATTTAAATTTGACTTTAAAACCTCAAAAACACGTGTTAAACTTGAGTAAAACTGCCCCTAATATCCACGTGTTTTTTGTTTACACCTCGATCGCAACAAACACGTGTCTATACAGGTTTTAATTCCGAAAAAGAAAGTAGATGCACCGGTTGGGAAAAGACTACATTTTATTTTTATAAAGCAAACACACACACAATAAGTAACAATTTCATTGAAAAAACCACAAACTGCTAAAAAGTAATCATAGTTGGTAAATCTGTGAATCAAGAGAAAATAAGAATTTACGCGTCTATAATTAAGTTGACTAAATAATAGTTATCACCCGTCACTATTTTTTTCCCATAAATGCTTAAAAATTGATTGAATGAATATTTAAATAAAGAGAAGTAGAATTAGTAGAAATTATGTCATTAGTAAAACTAATTATGTCATTAGTAAAACTAATCCCATTAAAACGATTTTGCTTTACAAAAGTCTACAATATTCATTATTTGAGATTTGAGAGTGATTATTAATAATAAAAAAGTTACTTTTTTCAAAGAAAGCGCAGCCAAACAATAAAATACAACAAAAATATGAACAAATACTTTAATGAATAATAAAAGACTAAAATAAAAACTCGATAAAAACAACAAAGAAAAGACTTAGTCTACTATAAAAACAAGAAAGGAAATAATGGCAAACAGCTTTTATGCAGACAAACTTACCAATCAAAAGAATTTCATAACATAGACAAATCATTAATAACAAAAAAAAATAAGAATGCTAGTGACAGAGTCGTCCCAGCCGGCATTTGGTCCAATAAAGACTTCTTTTGAACGTCCAAAAGACGTTTTTTTAGAAATGTCGGCTAGGGTAACTAGACTACCTTGTACTTCCCATCAGGGGAAGACAGCAGCGAATTTAGTGGGCTTTTTTTGCAAATTTTGGAAGTCTTTTTTTTTTAGGCCCCCTAATGTCAGGTTTTGTTGAGGGTAACCAAAACAGCTTTTAAACTTTTTTATAAAAAAAATTTTATAAAATAGACAAATCGTTAATAACAAAAATTATAATAATGCTAGTGACAGAGCCGTCTAAAACTTGTCATTAGAGCCAGAAAATAAGTTTATATTAGATTAACTAAAAACGATAAAAAAAAGTATATATTGGAGACGAACAAATAAAAAATTTTGTAACAATTAATTTTTTAGTTTTGCAATTCATGTAACTCTCAGCAAAAATGTTATTTACGTGGTAACCTCTTTTAACTAGACATTTTTTAGTTTAAATTAAAGCTTAACAACAAATATATATATATATATATATATATATATATATATATATATATATATATATATATATATATATATATAATATATATATATATATATATATATATATATATATATATATATATATATATATATATATATATATATATATATATATATATATATATATATATATATATATATATATATATATATATATATTGTTTTAATTTTGAATATATGGTAAAATTACAACAAACTAAAATACTAAAATACTTTGTATATTATTTATGAAAATTTGTAATATATATAATAACAAATATATTTATAAATCCATGTTCAGAGCTACTAATAAAATAATATAATAAAAAAACGCCAATGTTTTTACGTATGGAATACTAAGTACATAATAATCCTAAAATAAAAATATTTCTAACAGAGTAAAGCTGTGTTATAAATTGCTTACTTTGAAAAAAAATATAAGAACTTAAATTGATTTGACTTAATCTTAGATTGATTTGACTTAATCTTTGACCTTATCTTAAATAAATTAATTTAAATGTTTATCTTTAAACATTTTCTATAAAATTAAACGTAAGTAAATATCAAAAAAATAAAAGTAAAATTTTTTTTAATTTTTTATATCTTTAATGTTGCAAAAACTGTTTCACCTACTTCATTAAGACTCAATTTTATTCAATAATTACTTAATTTACTTCGATAAATTTTTCAGGTACCCATCACAGTGTTCGAAAAACCGTTGCGCAGCCATTGCACAACCATTCCAGTTTTGAACGCGAAACAAATATCCGCAATATATTTAAAACAAAAATGTTAAAGAGCTTATTAATTAACACTTTCAACAATATACATTTAGTGTATAATTAACTAATAAAAAAAGTAAAAACTAGTAACATTTTCATTGAAAAACCAGCGACAAAAAACAATTTTTTTTTAACGAATAAATTTAAAACTTTGAAAACATTTGTCATTTTTTTTATTTTATAACAACGATCAAAAACATTGAAATTAGTTATTCCTTCCTGGGTATTGAAAACAACAACATTTCTTTCAATTTAATAAGTGTTGTCGGAAATGTGAAATTCAGTTATTATATTTCGACTTAAAATCTTTCAAAAGACAAAATGTCTCATTCTTCGCGTTCATTATTTCCATTTATTGTTTTAACTATTGACTTTAAGAATCGCAATGGAAAATAAAGTTGTAAACGTGAAAGTAATTTATGAAGTTTATACTACATTTTTTTTATTTTATCTCTAAAAATCACAGTGGTTCAATTTCTAATAAAACTAACAACTATTTTAAACTGAGTAAAACAAAAATAAAAAATTATAGTTTTATAATGTATTAAGCTAAAAGTTAGTTTTGAAAAAGTTAATGGTAAAAAATTTATTTTATTAAAACAATTGACTCGCAACATTAAATAAAGTTAAGAATAGTAAAAACATATTGGACTTACATTTGTTTGGTAGAAAATAAAAACCTATTATATTGCCTCATTTTAAATGTACCGAATTCATTTATATTATTTGTGTTTAACTTGTGTAGAAGCTTTTATACTTTCTAGCCATCAATTCTAATTTATTTATAATGTTTTTCATACTTCTTACTTGATTATTATCTAGTTGATTTTCATTTAGATTGTTAACTCGCTAATCATTTGTAGATAATTTTTGGTATTTTATTTGCCGTCTCATCAACGGTCATAAATAAATTTTTTATCGTAATTATGTAAAACTATTATTAAATAGTTAAACTTATTTATGATGTAACATACACAAACTCAAATTTAATAGTTAAATAAATTCAAATTTTTTTTTTAATTATTATTATTTTAGGAAGGCGGTGACTCATAATCGCAAAATTGTTTTATAAAATTGTTTTGCAAAATATTTGCTAATAGTAATCTATAAAAAGAAGACTGGTGTCTATTTAAAAGTTATTTACTAATAAAAAATACCGCCAAAAAATGTTCGTTGTTTTTTCTTAGAAATACCGCCAAAAAAAATTTGTTCTTTTTTCTTTCATCATTTTCGAACATTATATAAGGCTTCAGAACCTTTTAAAAAAAAACCTCGAAAATAGTATCGTTTTATACAGGGCTGGATTTTCCTTTAGACTAACTATACAATACAGGGCCCTACTCCCAAAATTTATAAACCTTTTTTATATATTTTATAAATGTGACTTATACATCTTTTATTAAAATATTTATAATAAAATTTTTTTTTGTGTTATACCGACAATGTTTTCAATTAGTAGAAAATTATTTCAAAATTTTAAATATTTTTATTAAGAACCGTTTACAAATAAAGACTTGAAAATCAGCATAAAAATAAAAAGCATAAATTGCTTTACGATAAAATCATTATAGTATAAATATTATACCATTATAATGCCTATATTATAATCATTATAATGCCTACGCATTACAGTAACTTAGCTCGAACTTTTTTGTTATAATGCACAGATTGTGCCCCTCCACTTTGAAATTCGTGTCGTCGGCCATGTTGCATAATAACAAGTGCTATTTTCTATTACTCTTTATGAAGTAATAGAAAATAGCACTTTTTATTATGCAACATATTTATTATTTTTTATTATGCAAGGTTGCCATAAAAAAGTTGTCATATTTTTAGTTAGGCTGCATTTTATTTTCCGTTGATTATTATAATCAACAGTAAATCAAATGTAACTAAATAAATAATAACTTTTTTTTTGGCCTATAATAAGCTATAGCCTAATATAGGCCAGAAATAAGTTGTTATATTTTGTGCTAATATATAGATGTGCATTATATATATATATATATTTTGTGCATATATATTTAAAAAATATATGTTTACATATATATTTTGTGCTAATATATAGATGTGCATAACATTACTGCTGGCTAATTATAAAAATTTTGACGGCTGTCTTGATCGGATCGAAAGTAGTATTATATTGATGTAAACAAAGCAAATTAGTTAACAAATATTAAACTATTTATTTTATAATTACTCTTGCGTCATTAATAAAAGTGGGAGGACGTTTATTAATTTTCGGAAAATTTTCCCATCCATTCTAAGCCTATTAAGAGCCCCCCTTTATCAATTTTTTTAAAATATATTTATATCTCTAAACCAATGATATATTATATAAACTAGATGTCTAACTTGCGGAATTTTATTGCACAAAAAATGAAGCTGCTTTTTTTGTTAATAAATAAAGTCCAACATAAGTAAAAAGGGCAAAAGCTGAAGCCGATGTGTGCAATAAAAATTTAAAATGCAAGTATAGAGCATGAAAAGTTCCCAATAAGTTGATGATAATTCAAAAACACGTTTTGATAATTATAAAACAATTATAAAAGTTTTTTTATGAGGTTTATTGAAAAGTATTATAATTCATAAAAATTAGAAAATAGTTCCTTCAGTCACTGATGAAAACAAAAACTTTCAGTGTAAACAGGCTTTAAAAATGACCGACCGAATATTTTTTGGTTTATTTCTCACAAAAGTATAAAACTTATATCAGCATTTTAAATTCTATTGAAGTAAAAATAAAACAGCTGTTACAAAATGCGCATTTGACCGCAAGCGACACCAGAATTAAATAGCTTTATGCGTGTTTTGTAAAAAATATTAGTTTGGATTTATAAACTAAATTTTTTTTTATAAAAAATACTTATATTGTAACAATTCCGAATTGTAAATAATTCCGAACCCATCCTTTTATAAAAAAAACTCTGTTTGTTAGATCTAAACTAAAATCCTTTTATTTCCCTCTTCCCCCTATGTATCAAGCACTCGAGAGTACGTAGCTTATAAGTTGTTGCCGCTTGTATAATGTTTACTGACAGAAAATTCACAGGTTGGTATTATTAATAATAGCTTGTTGTTATTAATTTTGTTACTATTTATGTTCAGGATCAGAGTGGCTTGAAAAACTGTCCGAGAAATTTGAAAAACACACACACACACACATATATATATATATATATATATATATATATATATATATATATATATATATATATATATATATATATATATATATATATATATATATATATATATATATATATATATATATATATATATATATATATATATTTATAGTTAATATTTATATTAATAAATATAAATATTTATATTTAAATACATCAATGATTTTAATGTTATTAATTCTTGGAAGAAGCTCCTTTTCACAAGACATTAGTATGTATGATTGATTGTAAACTTGATTAGATTATAAAATTTCTTAATCTGTTCAAAATATATTTCAATTTTGAAAATGATCTCTCAAAAACTACTTGTGATGAGGATAATGTCAACACAAACATGTAAGCTAGAAACAAATTTGAATGCGCGAGACAAATTGAACTTCTAGAGAAAAATCAAACAATAAAAATTTTTTTTGCAAGATTTTCATTTATTTCTGTGGCTGTTGCTGTTTTCTATTGCTTGGGTTGTAAAAATACTTTCAAATTTTACGGAGTTAGATTGTCGGATGTTGTCCGATAGAGAATCAGATATTTCCGTTTCAAATAGCAAATTATATTTAACATCAAAAACTGTTTCAAATTTTTTAATGCAAAGTCCGATAACTCTGTTTGAAACTAGTCTTTTGTTACGCTAGCATCAAATTTAATGGGTAAACCACTGAGGTGCTGCAATGCGTCACTAGGCTTTTTTTTTCAAAATTTCTTCAAAATATCTTAAATCTAAACAAAAAAAATCAATATATAGACTACCATGTCCAGAGAATCTCTGTTTTAAACTACTCAATACTTGATCCATTATCATGTTGTGAACATTGACATGAAATTTATCTTTCGCACTTCTTAGTAGATGGTTGGCTATAATTCTTTTCTCTTTTAAACCACTCTGAGCTTCAATGTTGAGAATTCATTTTCCTAATTCACTATTTGCAAGTTCTAAGAAGTTTGTAGCTGCATGAAAAAAGAAATTAAAATTTCTATCTACTTTGCTTAATTCATTGATACTGTTTTGAACCGTCTTGTTGACTTGTATTATATCCATTCCGGTTGATTACAAATATTCAGATAATCGCGTTTTGCGCTCAAACACTTTCAAAAACAATTGCGCCGTCAAAATAAATTCAAAACTTACCAAAGAATCTAAAAAAAACCTTTTGCTCAGTAACGGACATCATTATTAAGTTTAATTAATAAAGAAATATCACCAAATGTTTGTAACTTGTCAATGTACAAAAAATAAATAACTTGTGCTTCTTGATCAGAAATTTTGATGTAGAAGTTTCCGAATATCTTAGTAGGAGCTCTATCTTTTGCCCACCAACGGGTTTCACCGATTACAGGTATATATTTAAATTTGCTAAATTCACGTTAAACAATAAAGCGTAAATTAGGGTTGTTAATCGAAGGATTTCGTGCAATTCCGGAAAAACAACATTCTTTCGTAAGGAGATTGGGTAGGCTCTCTTGTCAAACCCCTATTCCGACGTTGAGCGTCCTTTGCGTCCGTGAGCTTGTATTTCTAGAAAATAGGTGAAATGGGGTATATAGGGATTTGCGCTGCGGTGTGCACATACACCGACTGATTTTTAGAGAGAACATGCAGCGGAGTGTGGAAACAACGACTGAGGGTTTGGAGTAGGCAGGTTCTCTTTTAAATAAAAAAGTCGTTTTTTTACATTTTCGGACCTTGAGGACAGCGTCGGAATAACGGTTTGACAAGAGAGCCTACCAGGAGATTGAGAACGAGGAATTACATTTTTTCGTAAAAAACATTTAAAATCGCCGATGTTCATTTCGCAAAAGCCACTTCCGAAATTTAGCATTTCGCAAGTTGACATACGAAACAAAACTATTTTGCAACATACGAAAGTAGCGGTTTCGGAAGTCGCACTTGCGAAACAAACATTTTCGCCAAACGACGTTTTGAAGTCTATAAAGAAAATTTGTTTGCCAGACTGATTTTAATAGTAAAAATTAACATCTTTAAATCCCAAAATGTTTATAATGAATTTTTATTTTCAGTATAATAACATATTAAATTTTTATGGTTTTATTTTTAGAAATAATGATAAAAAATAAAATTTTTTTCGAAACGAAAGTATTTCGGATCACAACATACGAAAGAATTCTTAACGGAAATAAACTTACGAAACGTGCCATAATAAATATATATAACGATGTTTTTTGAACTCATTACGTATATTAAAAATAAGAATAATGGGTAGGAATATACATGTTTTTTTTTTTAAAACATATGAAATTTTTGAAACAGGTTCGAATATGCTTAAGCAAATTGTAAAAAAAGGCTCAAAAATATGCTTTAGCTTAAGCATATTTCTGATAAAATATGCCTATTTCAATAATTTCTAAAAGTGTGCACGTTACTAAAGTTCTAGCAGATTTTAAAGTATGCAGAGTCCTGTTTGAATACGCTTTTCGAAGTATAGATCTTAGAAAATATTGTTTTTTAATTTTAATAAGATATAAATTTAAGTATAAGATCGTATAGTTCAATCAGTTAGATACGTGATAATTCTCCGCAGAGATCCGGGTTCGCATCCCGCAGCCATTGTAACTTTTGTTCATCAAACTCTTTTTACTTAAGATAGCATTTTTTGACCTCCATGTTCTATATTACAGATCTTTCGTCACCTTCATAATAGCAACAACCTCTCTTCTGTTAGTTATTCTTTTAAGATTGAGTTCATTGTGCTTAATTCTACACAATAAAAACGAGCAATTGCTTTTACTCAGTAATTGGTCAGCTTTACGTGAATAAAAGCTAAAGAAATTTTTAAGTTTTTATTTACGTAAAGCCGAACAATTACTAAGTAAATTGCTTAACTTTACGTGAATAAAAATTTGAGAAAAACTGCTAATGTTTTTATTTTTGTAAAGCTGACCAATTACTAAGTAAAAGCAATTGCTCATCTTTATTCACCCGGCCTTTTATTTATTTATATTTTCGTATAGCGCGTTACGGAATGTGCATTTTTGCATGTGCAACTTCCGCAATAACAATTCTATTACGGTAGATAAAGATGCGAAATTTTCGCAAGTTTTGTTTTTCGGCGAACAAATATGGTTCCGTTAAAATATTGCACATGTGTTCAAAACGCCAAATAAGGAATCAACTTCAACCGCTTTTTTAGTAACTTCATCCATTACCAAAATTTGGACTTGGGTATAATACCATACATCTGACTCGGGAATAATGTATTTAACCAGGTATTGAATCCATTTTATTCACCTATATTATACTTCCGATGCATTTGCTTATATCAATGTCTTTTCGAAAACGCTACAAACCAAAGTACACATTCCTGTTCCAGTTGTCGATGTGCAATTGACTATTGATATTACACGTTTATGTAGAGCTTTTGTTACACATTGGATCACAATAGAGTACAAATATTGTGCTTTAAAACTTGTGTGGTATCAATTCGAAGACTAAATATACCTGCTTTTCTAATCTATAATGCTTGTAAACATGTTGTTATTGTGTCGATGACTTTATAAACAGTTGTTTTTGACAGAAATGTGACTAAGTAGCCTTGAACTCTGTTAATTCTGTTGCCAACTGAATTATACCAGGATTTGCTTTTTCAAACCATCTCTTTTATATTTATTTTCAACAACGTATCAAATTTGCAATCAAGCTATATAATATCCAAATAATTCCCATTACTGTCATCAAGCGATGTGCATCCAGACTTTTCTGCACCCCTGTAGCACTTTTTTAATTATTGGTAAATCCAAGCTTACCAATAACTTCTAAAGTTTCTATGATTCTTTTTAAACTTAAACAATTCTTGTTAACCTCTCCACCATGTTGGGGCGTAAAAATACTTGTAAAAAATCTTTTTAGCATCGATTTTTAAAACATATGACCTGTGCAGGTTGCAATCAGAGCCGTGGCTAGGCTCCTGCACACCTAATAGGAGAGAAAGCAGCATTTTCAGGGATCCTTTCCAAAAGTTAAAAAAAATTTTTGTATTTTTTTAATTAAAAATATTAAAATATATATTGTTACTGTTACTATTAATAAAAAAAATTTGGCACTTTCCGAAGTCCGAATTATATGATATAATACAAACTTTATAAAAATCTGTCAAACGTTTTTCAGGGAAAATAAATAACAGTATTAAATTTCAACCTTGAGGTTCACTTTTCTTTTAATTATGAAAAATTAGAAAAGGATAGTTAGATAACAGCCATTAATAACATGTTGCAACCTATAAATAACATAATTTAGACAAAATTGACTAAAAATCCCCCATTTTAATTTTTTTTGACCCCACAGATTTTATTTTTTCTAAAAAATTTATGTCAACTTACATTTATACTTGATAGATAAAAACTTTAATGAGATCAAATTTTTAACTGTAACTGACGTAACTGACAAATTTTTAATTTGAATAGAGGTGCTGTTTTAGCTCACATCAGATTGTGAAAACACTCGAGGTATGCAGGTGGGGTTTTGTGAAAACACTCGAGGTGTGCAGGTGGGGTTTTGTGAAAACACTCGAGGTATGCAGGTGGGGTTTTGTGAAAACACTCGAGGTATGCAGGTGGGGTTTTGTGAAAACACTCGAGGTGTGCAGGTGGGGTTTTGTGAAAACACTCGAGGTATGCAGGTGGGGTTTTGTGAAAACACTCGAGGTATGCAGGTGGGGTTTTGTGAAAACACTCGAGGTATGCAGGTGGGGTTTTGTGAAAACACTCGAGGTATGCAGGTGGGGTTTTGTGAAAACACTCGAGGTATGCAGGTGGGGTTTTGGGAAAACACTCGAGGTATGCAGGTGGGGTTTTGTGAAAACACTCGAGGTATGCAGGTGGGGTTTTGTGAAAACACTCGAGGTATGCAGGTGGGGTTTTGTGAAAACACTCGAGGTATGCAGGTGGGGTTTTGTGAAAACACTCGAGGTATGCAGGTGGGGTTTTGTGAAAACGAGGTATGCAGGTGGGGTTTTGTGAAAACACTCGAGGTATGCAGGTGGGGTTTTGTGAAAACACTCGAGGTATGCAGGTGGGGTTTTGTGAAAACGAGGTATGCAGGTGGGGTTTTGTGAAAACGAGGTATGCAGGTGGGGTTTTGTGAAAACGAGGTATGCAGGTGGGGTTTTGTGAAAACACTCGAGGTATGCAGGTGGGGTTTTGTGAAAACACTCGAGGTATGCAGGTGGGGTTTTGTGAAAACACTCGAGGTATGCAGGTGGGGTTTTGTGAAAACACTCGAGGTATGCAGGTGGGGTTTTGGGAAAACACTCGAGGTATGCAGGTGGGGTTTTGTGAAAACACTCGAGGTATGCAGGTGGGGTTTTGTGAAAACACTCGAGGTATGCAGGTGGGGTTTTGTGAAAACACTCGAGGTATGCAGGTGGGGTTTTGTGAAAACGAGGTATGCAGGTGGGGTTTTGTGAAAACACTCGAGGTATGCAGATGGGGTTTTGTGAAAACACTCGAGGTATGCAGGTGGGGTTTTGTGAAAACGAGGTATGCAGGTGGGGTTTTGTGAAAACGAGGTATGCAGGTGGGGTTTTGTGAAAACACTCGAGGTATGCAGGTGGGGTTTTGTGAAAACACTCGAGGTATGCAGGTGGGGTTTTGTGAAAACGAGGTATGCAGGTGGGGTTTTGTGAAAACACTCGAGGTATGCAGGTGGGGTTTTGTGAAAACACTCGAGGTATGCAGGTGGGGTTTTGTGAAAACGAGGTATGCAGGTGGGGTTTTGTGAAAACGAGGTATGCAGGTGGGGTTTTGTGAAAACGAGGTATGCAGGTGGGGTTTTGTGAAAACACTCGAGGTATGCAGGTGGGGTTTTGTGAAAACACTCGAGGTATGCAGGTGGGGTTTTGTGAAAACGAGGTATGCAGGTGGGGTTTTGTGAAAACACTCGAGGTATGCAGGTGGGGTTTTGTGAAAACACTCGAGGTATGCAGGTGGGGTTTTGTGAAAACACTCGAGGTATGCAGGTGGGGTTTTGTGAAAACACTCGAGGTATGCAGGTGGGGTTTTGTGAAAACACTCGAGGTATGCAGGTGGGGTTTTGTGAAAACACTCGAGGTATGCAGGTGGGGTTTTGGATTTCAACAATTGAGGGATAGTAGAGACGTTTAGGCTAAAAATTGCTTCTGCACTAACTAGTTTCCACTTCAACCCTCTATTTACCAGAAAATATGAAATAAAAAGCCCATTATTTGTTTTAATGAAATCATAGGCATTGTTTTTAAAGAAACAAATGTAAAGCATTGGAAAACTGTAACTTTTTACATTTCATATTTGCAAAATAAAAGTCCATAATCATATGGACTTTTATTTTGCATATTTGAATTGATTTTTTTTATTATTATGTTTTTTTAGTATTTTATATGAAAAGAGTGAAAAGTGGTGCCACTAAGAGAAGAGAAAAAGCTGCAGCCAGGGAGGAAATTACAAATTACTTCAAACTAACACATTTTTTTAAACCAGCAGTTTAGCCTGGAAGTGTTTTGATACAAACAAAAACTATAAAGAATTCTGATAGTCATTGTTTGAATACTAAAGTAGAGTCAGATAGGTTGTTCTGTGAGTTTACGTCAAATGGCATAACAATTCCGCTTATTTTTCTCAGCGATGATCCTTCTGATTGGTTTGATGATGTTTCTGACGCACAGAGGTGTGATATTCTTCAACGTAGTTTCAAAAAGATTGAAATCGATTTTCGTTACCATTTAGAAGACAATTTTCACTGAATTATTATAACCGCAAAATAAAGAACCTTTGAACGGGCATGGCTCATATATAATTAAATAATTTTTTATCAAGTTGTTTATTATTTATTAAATTATTTATTGCTTATTATATAATTTAATACTACTCATTATATAATTTATTATACAGCAATTAGTTTAGCTTTAAAAATCATTTATATTCAGTTGTTACGTAAAATTTAGAACTCTTAAAAAATCTCAATTCATATTAGGAATGTTTATCAATCTTTCAAAAGCATTTGATACTGTCGATCATGATATTTTGCTTTAAAAAATACATTTTTACGCAATAAATGAAAGAGTAATTATATGAGTTCAAAGTTATTTATCTAACAGAAAATAATTTGTTTCTTTTAATGAACTCAATCATAAACAGTTTCTAAATGTTTCCTGTGGTGTTCCACAAGGTTCCATCTGAGGCCCTCTTTTGTTTTTAATATACATATCAACGACTTGCATAAAGCAGTAAATCCTCTAAATATATTGTTTGCTGATGACTCAGACTTATTTCTCATAACAGTAACATCTATCTACTATTCTCCATGATAAACAAAGAACTTCAAAACAAATCTAAATGGTTTAAAAGTAACAAATTAACATTAAACGTAAGCAAAACAAAATGATTTTTTTTCCTCCCGCTTTCCAAAAAAACGTTCTCCATCCTCAAATCTACCAAAAATTCTTATTAACCATATTGAAATAAAAAGAGATTCTGAAACTAAATACCAAGGGGTTTTCATTGAAGAGAATATTACATGGAAATATCATATTAACTATGTCGAAAATTTCTCGAAAGTTTCAAAAAGTAGGGCATATCGGGACAGTGGGGCATAACAGAACAGTTATGCTTGAAGTCTTGTATCTCAGCTAAAAATAATTTTTTTCGAAATATTTTTTGATAAGACATTTTAAATTGTTGTACTTTATTATTGTAAAAAAATTTAGCTTTAGAAATGTCAAAATGCATTGAAAGTACCAAAATGCATCAGTAAGTTTGCGAAAAACAAAACTAACGTATTTTCTTAAGCGATACAACGACAAAAGATTTATCTTGAACTATTAAAAATTTGCTTTATTTATAAAATGTTTATATTTTTTAGACAATATTTTTTATCCTCTTTTAGAATCTGGTTTTAAAAAAATATTAAAAATTGAACTTTTTGAATAGCATTAACTTGAGTAAACTGACTTTTGTGGGGCATATCAGGACAACAAACTGTTTATATAATTGAATATATTACTAACATTTGGTGATGCTGTTTACAGTTTAATAATTTTGTTTTTAATGTAAAATATTATTTTTCTTATTTAGAAAAGCAAATTTAGTAACAAATTCAAAAAAATTCTTATTTTTAAAACTTAACTTTGATTATTAATAGTATTTAATTGTAAACAAAGAAGGTAGGAAATGATTTTAGAAAGATCAGTGATTCAAAATGGGATAAAATGCAGTTTTAACTGCTAATGAAAAGGAACTTAAAACTAGAAAAGGCGCTGATACATTTGGCATACTTACGTTTGCTCTGCATTGGTGTATTGCTAATAAGCAATTGTTTATCGATTTAACAAAAGCATTCGATACAGTTGACCACGAGATCTTCCTACACAAACTAGAGATGTTTGAAGTAACAAACAACAATCTAAGATGGTTCAGAAATTACCTAAATAACAGGAAACAAGGAGTGTCGTACAACACAGCATGTACACGGTTACAAACAATTAGTTGTGGTGTACCCAAGGCTCCTATCTTGGACCTTTACTATTTTTAATCTATGTGAATGATATTTACTTAACTTCAAACATTCTTAATTTTACTCTTTTTGCAGTTGATACGAATATTTTTTTACTCACTCAAATATAAAAACAATATTTTCTACAGTTAATCACGAGCTGCAAAACTTAAACGAGTGGTTTAAAGCTAATAAACTTCCCTTAAACATCCTCAAAACTAAATATGTTTTATTTCACAAATCATCTAACTCTGTTAATTTACCACTTAAGCTTCCCCAGCTTATGATCAACAGCATTAATATAAAAAGAAAACATTCGATGAAAATCCTGGGAATAATTTTTCAAGAAAATCTTAGTTGGAAGAATCATATTTTGCACATCGAAAATAAAATCTCCAAGTCAATCGGCATCATGCATAAAATAAAACACCTTCTAAATAAAACTTGCTTAAAAAATATATATTATTCGCTCATTTACAGTTATATCAACTATTGCAATATCTTTTGCTCCTGTCGTTATTTTAATTTTTATCTTATTGTTTGTAAAATATATAGCGACGAAACAAATTATATATATATATATATATATATATATATATATATATATATATATATATATATATATATATATATATATATATATATATATATATATATATATATATATATATAAAAAGCCAGCTCATCAAAAATGTTGCGAAATAGTTTCAGTTTATTTTTGTGCGATTTATGTGATCCATAAATTTTTTTTTGCTTAATTTCAAATTTACTAGTAGTAACCAATTTAATAATATATAGGTTAGAGTAGAGCAGAGCCATTTTATAATAAAACACATAAAATTTTTTTATTCTAGCTGTTTTTTTTGTGGTGTATGGGTGTAAGGGCGTGTAATTTCTATGGGTATGTTACTTTTTTGAGAGTTTAATGTCTGAACATATTTAGAGAATAGGTTCATTTTTAACCATTTTTATTGCTTTACAATTGACGAATAACTGCTACTTTTTAACTGTCCCGTATTGCCCCAACCACTTGCAAAATGTAAAAGTTATGCTTGAGTTTCTTTACTTTGGTTGTCGTAGCTTATTAAAAAATTTTTTTTTTTTTTTTTCTTATATCAATGAATTTTAGGAAATTTATAAAAAACAGTGCTAACGATGATTAGTTTATCCGCAACTAGCATTTGTTTCTTAAGTGTCCTTATAAGCCCCGCTCTACTCTATCGGAATTTTATATAAGGCGCGTGCTCATTCAGATAAAAATAATTTAAATAAACTTTATTACTCTTTTATTCATAGTTATATAAGTTATGGAGTTATTTCCTGGGGTAGTACTGATCAAGAAAATTAATGTACCTATTGCCGTCAGAAACAGGCGATCCGTTTAAATAATTCTGCGGATTGGTTCGCACATTCCTCAATATTTTTTAATCAAATGAAAATCCTCGATATATATAAACTAAACTTATATAAAAATTCATCTTTTGTTTATATGTGGGAGTATGATTTATTTCCTTTAGTTTTTAAAGACCTTTTTATTTTGAAACCACTAAGCAAGTTTAACATGAGGAAAAATAATTACTTAAATGTATC